CTCTTTGTTTACTGACATACTTTATTGTCATTCTGCTCTACACCTCTCTAGTGACTGTTTTATTGGAAATAAAGTCTAGGTATCCTGTTGGAATATCAGATCTTAATTATAGCTTGCTTCACAGTGGCTTATTGTCATTTATTATTTCTTATTTAATTTACATAACACCTTCCTGACAAAGAGTCCATGAGCCTATTTATCTAAAGAGCTTGTGTATGTGTGCATGCATGTGCATGCATATGCTCACACAGAAACATATGCACACAATTTAATGTCAGTCAATGCTCTGATGTAGTCAGCAGTATAGCACCAAATATCTTTAGGAAGTGTCCACATTTTTTTTTTTCCAAGATCATGTTTTGAGAAGGCAGTTGCCATATTTCCTGTCATTTTGAGTGTCTCTTGTTTGCTTCTAGGTGGATCGGATCATCTTCTGTGTCTTCTTAGATGTGGACTTCAAAATCTACAAAAAGAAAATGAATGAGTTTTTCCCCACAGGTGAGTGAAATAATATATTTCTTTTGGAATTAGTGAATTGAGAAATGAAAGTGTCACTTATATTTCTATTAAAGGTTGTTACAAATCTGATTCCACACATCAGTCACCCCTAGCAACTTGTGTCACAGATTTAAGGAACAGAAGGTCACAGGAAATCCAGGCTATAGACCTCACTATGTCACTGTGTTGCTTTCAAAAAGTCAATTCATCTCTTGGGGCTCACTTTCTCACCTCAAAAGTGAGAGATTGGACCAAATTACTCCTAAAGATTCTTCTAGCTCTAAATTTCATGAGCTGCAATTCCTCCCTTATACACATAAATTCTCCAGTCCTTGTACATACATCGACCATGTTAAACACTTTTGTGGGAAATTGAGAGGATCCTTGTTGTTGAAGTTCAAACTGTTCTGGCATTCTACCCTTATCCCACCAATTTTTTACCTCCACAACTACAAGAAAGATAGTCTCACATTCTAAAGCAATCTGAGAGCACTTGTCATTCATCTTTTCACACTTCTTTTTATAATGTAACAGAAACCTCAGGGTTATTAAAGATAATAGAATTTTGAGAATTGATTTATATTGATTGCATGTGTGATTAGCTGTATTTGGTTAATATGAATATTTCCCCCTACTATCCCTCTTCCAGTCTCTTAAGGCTGAGGTTGTATAATGCCTTGTTATTTTTATGGTGCCAATAAAGTCCTAGTGCCAGAAGTGCTTTTCTTTGCCATGGTAAGAACTATCTCCAAGAAATTTCAATCCCATGTGAGCATAGTTGGTGCTTGTTTTTCTGAGAGCTTCATTTTAAAGGTTTGCATCTCCATTTGAAGTGGATTTTAATGTAATGGGTGACTCTGGCATGTGGAAAGAAGAGAATGAAGGACTACTGGCTCATATTCACCCTTTATACAGCTACATAATAAAGAGGCCACCCGCCAGCTGATCAGAGTAACCTGGGGATAGCTGCCCAAACAGATGTAGCTACTGCCAAAGATGTTCAATACTGTGATAATTTTCAAAGTGGTCTGAATTCTTCTGGGTATTTGAAGTCCTTCTTGCTAGTTTTGTAATTGAAAGACCTATCTTCCAAGTATATTTAATTTTGGAATTTAGAATATTTCCCGAACTAGAATATGAACTTAAAAATTTGAAAGACTCCCATATGATGATGAAAAAGGGGATTGTGGTTGTGGTCTCTTATCTACTTGTCCTTCTCCTCTACCCCCATGTTTCATGATTCTTCACTTTTTAAGAAACTCAGCATTTTGCAGAATGTAAAGCTCATAAGAGCTGTTAAATAAGTAGGTTGAAAATGGTTGGATTTAATAAATTTCTAGCAATAAGTCAATGCTTTTTTTTTTTCCTGTTTCATCCCCTTGTCCCATTCATTCATTCTCTTGATTTTCTTTATAATCACAATGAACTGATTGGTGCATGTATTTGTAAGCATTCTTAAAAGGAATTATTTATCATGCAAAAGAATATGACATGCTATGGTGTATGAAAGGAGGTCTGGTGGTGTAGTGGTTATAGCATTCAGCCGCTAAACAAAAGGTTAGCAGTTCATTGGAGGACATTATGCTGAGTGAAATAAGTCAATCACAAAAGGACAAATATTGTATTAGTCCGTTATTATAAAAGTAAAGGAAAGGTTTATCTATAGAAGGAAATTTTCTTTGTTGGTTACCAGGGGGGGGAGGGGAGGGGAAGGAAGGCTGTTAGATAGATAGAGATAAGTATTGATTTGGGTGAAGAGAAGGGCAATGTACCAAATGTGAGTGTCCAATATGGTGGCACTGAGGAAGAGAAAGACATAGAGAGGTACATGGGAGGTACAGACAACAAAGATGAACCCCTTTGCACATACAGTACTGCATTGTCAGTGAAGGCAAACATAGGTATACTGTTGGATAGATGGGTAGACAGGCTGAATGATTAGGTATGTCTATGAAATGGGGAGTGTATCCAAGAACATATATAAGGTTGGCAGACAATGATCCTATAAGTTTATGTGAATGATCAGAATTCCCAGGTGTATAGTAGAGCTGACAAGAGGCAAGGTTGTGGTCACAGCTTGGTCACAGCCAGCTACCCAGAGGGACCGAGTAGTTGAACCTGTGGGCTTGGGACCATAGTCGCAGGGGACATCAAGCTTAGTTGGCATAACATACTATACAAAACATTGTTCCACCTCCTACTTTGACGAGTAGTGACTGGGATCTTAAAAGCAAGCAAGCTGCCATCTAGATACAACAATGGGTCTCTCCTCATCTAGAGCAAAGAAGAATGAAGAAAAGAAAAAAAAAAGTTGGCAGTTCAAACCCATCAGCTGCTCTGTGGTACAAAAATGAAACAGTCTGTTTCTATAAAGTTTTATAACATTGAAAACCCTATAAGGCAGTTTTACTCTGTCCTAAGGATTGCTGTGAGTAGAATCTGCTTAATGGCAGAGTTTTTTGTTTTGTTTTTTTGTGGTGTTTGATGTAAATGTTCTCTGTCTTGTCAATATACTGTAATATTTTACAAGATTTTGTACTTCTTGAGATGTTCTGAAATAATGGCATTGTATTAATTATCCTGTTGTCTAAAAAAATTTATTTCACCCTAACTTATGATAAAAAATAACTTCATAAATATAATCCATTGATATTAAAGCAAAATTATCCATCAATAAGTATTTGCAATGAAGCAAAGCTAAAAATCATACCACAAATAAAAAAGAAAACTGGACAGTTGTAGTGATTGAGAATATATTAATAACTATGCAAATAAATCATTATTTAAAGAATGGCTGGTATAAATAAATCCAAAAATGCATCTCTGTACTGGAGAGAGTGAAACAAAAATGAAATGATCCTTAGTTTCGTATTAGTGCTTTAAGAGACATGCCTTGCTCATAAAATTATTTCCAATACATATTTATAATGCTAAGTATATTTTATATTTTAAACTAGATGTCATAATCTCCCAGATTGTAAAGTATTTCTGCAATGGCCTCAGGGCCTGGAGCAGTCAGCTGCCACACCCAAGGCTGGCAGTTCACCCACCAGCCGCTCCCCGCCAGGTAGCCAGGGCCGTCTCTGGGAGCTCTGCTAGCGTAGTGCCTAAGGCACTTGACTGCTAACCAGAAGGCTAGTGGTTCAAACCCACCAGCCACTTCTCAGAAGGAAGATGGGGCAATCTACTTCCATAGTGATACTGCCTTGGAAACCCAAGGAGGGGTCACTATGAGTCAGGTCCGACTGGATGGCACATAATAGCAACAACAACAAATACGTAATATAAAACAAAGGTGATTGATCTCTAATGGAATATGTAACTGCTAACAATGTTGTTGTTAGTTATCGTGGAGTTGGTTCTGACTCATAGTGACCTGTGTACAACAGAATGAAACACTGCCTGGTCCTGCACCGTCCTTAAAATCGTTGTCATGCCCATTGTTGTAGCCACAGTGTCAATCCATCTCATTGAGGGTCTTCTCCTTTTTCTCTGACCCTCTACTTTACCTCGAATGATGTCGTTGTCCAAGCCCAAAAACCAAACACACTGCCATCAAGTCAATTCAGACTCATCGTAACCCTCATTGGGTTTCCAAGGCTGTAAATCTTTAAGGAAGTAGATTGCCTCATCTTCCTCCCACGGAGCGAGCAGCTGGTTGGTTTGAATTGCTGACCTTCTGGTTAGTAACCAAATGCCGTACTCCCTATGCCACATGCATATAAAGCTGTTAAAATATCATGGCTTGGCTCAGGCCTACTTCAGTCTTCAAAGTAAATTCTTTGCCCTTTAATACTATAAAGAGTTCCGTTGCAGCAGATTTGCCCAAAGAAATATATCTTTTGATTTTTTGACTACTGCTTCCATGGGCATGCATTGTGGATCTAAGAAAAATGAAATTCTTGACAGCTTCAATCTTTTCTCAATTTTTCATGATGTTACTTACTGATCCAGTTATGAGCATTTTTGTTTTCTTTATGTTGAGGGGTAATCCAAAATGAGGTCTGTAGTCTTTAATCTTCATCAATAAGTGCTTCAAGTGTTCTTCACTTTCAGCAAGCAAGATTTAAGTGCGTAGGCCTCATGTCATCACATATCACAGATTATTAATGAGCTTTCCTCCAATCCTGAAGCTGCATTTTTTTCTTATGGTCTAGGGTCTCAGATTATTTGTTCAGCATACGGATTAAATAAATTTGGTGAAAGATACAACTTTGATGCACATCTTTCCTGATTTTAAACTGTGCAATATCCTTTTGTTCTGTTTGAACAATTGCCTCTTGTTCTATATACAGATTCCTCATGAGCACAATTAGCATTCTGAAATTCCCATTCTTTGCAATGTTATCCATAATTTGTTATGACTCACACAGTTGAATGCCTTTGCATAGTCAATAAAATACAGGAAACATCTTTCAGGTATTCTTTGCTTTTAGCCAAGATCCATCTGACATCAGCAAATATATCCCTCATTCCATGGCTTATTCTGAATCTGACTTGAATTTCTGACAGCTAATAGATTGATATAAATTATCTATCAATAATTTGAATTTATGGTTAATTCATAACCAGATCATCTTTGATTAGAATTTAATTTTCCTAGCTGGCTACACATTTCCCACAGGCTGACTTTTGCAGAGTATTTATTATAATGTTCAGAATCCTTCCCAATGCAATAATGGTAGTAGTTCAGGGAAACAAAAAACATTATTACTAAACATATTAGCATAGATAGTGTGTTAGGCTGGGTTCTCTAGAGAAGCAAAATCAGTAAAACATATATACATATATATAGAGAGAGAGAGGAATTTATCTTAGGAAAATGGCTCACACGCTTATAAAAGCCAGCAAGTCCCAAGATCTTGGATCAATTGTGAAGCTGGAGGCTTTTCCTGACTCATGCAGCTGCAGGGGCTGACGAGCTCAAGATTGGTAGGTGGTATACCAGCTGTTGACTCTAACGAATGACGAATCCAAGATCTCCAGACTGAATGGAGGAT